GCACCTTCCTCGTTAGTATAGTGGTGAGTATCCCCGCCTGTCACGCGGGAGACCGGGGTTCGATTCCCCGACGGGGAGGCATTTCCTTTTCGTTCTTGGAAATGTTTTAAGTTAGACTGCACGTGATGGGAAAGTCCCATATACACTACTCAAAAAATAAAGGGAACACAAAAATAAGACATCCTACATCCTCTGAAGGGGTGGCATTGCGTTTTCATTCTTAGAAATGTTAGTCAGACTGGACACCACTGGAAAGGTCCTCAACTATTTTAATGTTTCAGGGTTTCCCTTAACAGACTTAACAGACTTATATTATTTTAATAAAATAATATTAACACTCATGACAGTTAGTGATGTTTTCTAAACTGTAGCCTCAAAACTCCTCCTGGACAACGCTTGGAGTGCTCAGGTAGGAGAGAAAATTGCTAAGTGCTAACGAGTCAAAGTAACAGAGCATAAAACACAGAAAAACATGGAGGAGACTTTCCTGTCCTGGTCGTTTTATAGCAGATAACCTTAAAAATAATCTGCAGTAGAACAAAAACAGAAGAAAACCATGAATCAACATATAAACATTATGCTGCTGAAGTAAAGCAGAGCAAAGTTACAGAGGTTTCATTAGAGACACAGCAAAGCATTCAGCAATTTCGCATAATTTTAAAAAGTTTAAATTTCTTCAGTACTGAACAGCAGAACTGAGACTTTCTTGTGGGAAGTCAGTTAAATTAAAAACAAAAACACAGCGGCGGACAGCGCTGTACATAACGGTAGACTTGTGCGTAATAAGCAAGCGAATAATGCAGAAAACAGATTTTTAGATGGGGAAACTGTTCTTGAAGTACACTGAGAAAGGAAGAGAGCTGTGCATGAAGCGTCATTTTACTGTGGTGGAAGCAAAACAGCAAAGAAGGAATTCATGACGATGTCTATGTGAAGCAAAATATGAAGCGTAGTTTGGATCTTCTTTTGCTGCTGGTTCAGTCAAATTTGGTTGGAGAGAGACAAAGCCTACAGCTGCAGAATCTAGCACAAAAAAGATAAACACAAAGCGCGGACCGCCAAAGCAACAGAATCTGTGAGCTGTCGGCTTTCAGCCATGACGGCGTTTAGGTGAGGAAGCCAACGTCTCACTGATTCCAATGCGTAGGCGGTCTGCACTTTGTGTTTGTGTCTTTGTGCAGAATCCGTGTACCTGCTCTCATTTCTGTTTTTTTCAGCTGTTTGGTGGTTGTTGAAATTTTGTGAGGTTTAACCTGAGATTCTGGCGTTGCAGGCAAAATAAATTTATATTTAAAAATCTATTCAAGATTTTAATGAATCGATATCACGTTATTCAAGTTAGAATAGATTTTAATCTGAAAATCGATAATCAAAACAGGGCCTGTAATTGTAGTCTCTCTGCCCACTGTTATTTACACGTTAAAGTTGATACACAGAAACACGCGTGCACAACTTAAAACGTATAGTGGACATTATTGTGGCCACTATTTTATTATTATTATTACCATTATTATTTCTGTCTGGAAATAGACCAGTTTGAAATGATGAATTACAGATGAGTGTAAACGGTTTTATAATGCCCTCAATGACTCTTTTAACCACTATCATATCAATATCATTACAATCCAACGATTTCTGATTTTGGGTTTTTTTGTTTGTTTTATTTGCTTTTTTCGTTGATGGTAGAGAACTCTACGTTGAGGTATCTAGTCATTCTAGTCTCTTTGCCCGCTGTTTACACGTTTGATACACAACTTAAGGTATCGAAACAGGGAAACAGCGACACTACTATCCCATAGTGGACATTATTGTGGCCAGGATCGGTACTGCAACATGAAAGTCGCTAAACACCTTCCTCGTTAGTATAGTGGTGAGTATCCCCGCCTGTCACGCGGGAGACCGGGGTTCGATTCCCCGACGGGGAGACATTGCGTTTTCGTTCTTTTAAAAGTTACACTGCACACCATGGGAAAGTCCCATGTACACTGCTCAAAAAATAAAGGGAACGCAAAAATAAGACATCCTACATCTGAATGAATGAATGAAATGATCTTACTAAATACTTAAATACTACGTTATTTACATAGTTGAATGTGCTGACACCAAAATCACACAAAAATTATCAATGAAGATCAAATTTAGCAACCCATGGAGGTCTGGATTAGGAGTAACACTCAAAATTAAAGTGGAAAAACACACTACAGGCTGGTCCAACTTTGATGTAATGTCCTTAAAACAAGTGAGGCTCAGTGGTGTGTGTGTGGCCTACACGTGCCTGTATAGAATTATGTTTGTTTTGGAGGGTTTTTTGCTTCTTTCGTTGATGGCAGAGAACTCTACGTCGAGGCCTCAATTTAATACACATAAATAGGTCTGCACAACCTAACGTATCAAAACGGGGAAACAGCGACACTATCCCATAGTGGACATTATTGTGGCCAGGATCGGTACTGCAACATAAAAGTCATTGAACACCTTCCTCGTTAGTATAGTGGTGAGTATCCCCGCCTGTCACGCGGGAGACCGGGGTTCGATTCCCCGACGGGGAGGCATTACGTTTTTCATTGTTCTGTTTGTTAACGTTTTTCGATCATGTAAACAATACACAGGTATATTTAGCAAATTCATCATTTGCCCTTTCTTTATAGTTCAAGAAGGTCATATCTTTATAACTCTTTGTGAACTGCTTTATGTTTGGACATTGCTTCAATTCCATATTCAAACTGTTCCACAGTTTCGCTCCATGCACAGAAACACAAAAGCTTTTTC